ACGCATGGCTGGATGGACGTGTGGTTTGTTTGTTGCACCTGCTTAAGCGCTGCATGTTTGTGCCTTTTTGCGTTTGTTTGTTTCTGCTCGGTCTTTTTGTGTGATTTTTATTTTTCTTTTCACTTTAACTTTCAACGACAATGTGTCCTTTATTTTTACCTCAAGCACACATGCCCGGGTTCTCTTCATTCTTAAACTATTCTTGTGTTTTTTGTCTTTTAATTAACTCTCAACTTTTTATGTTTAATTTTGTCGTTTCTTTAATGAAACTACCAGTTACATGTCCATCCACATGCAATATCATGCACACCTATGTTTTCTTTTAAGTTTTATATTTTAACCTCGAATGAAAAAATGACAATATGTTGCATGTCCGTCCACCCACTCACATCTACACCCACATGCAACCGGTGATGGAGTGTTCTTTTTCATGGGGGGAGGAGCCAGGTCCTTGTCTATCAATAGGCACTCAAATGCAACTATTGCCCCGACTGCTGCATGTCTTAAACTCAGCGGTGTTTTTCCGCCAGAGGGGTTGGGGACTGCAACTACATGTCTTCAATGCGACAAAATTCGATGGTATGTTATCTGGGGAGGGGCCTTGCATTCTACTACTAGACACGCTACTGTATGTGTCGTCCCCGACTCCAACTGCACACAACTATAATTGTCGCCAACTGCAGCTGTATGTCTAAAACAAGTCTAGACGGAAATATCTAATTCAAAAAGTATCTATTTTATGTGGATTTTCTATTCTCAGTCAACCAAGAATTAGTCAAGTCTTAGTTGATTCGCCAACAATCGGACCTCAACTGCAAGTGTCGCCCGCTCTTTTATTTATATCTTAGTTTTTTGTTTGTTTTCTTTTCTCTCTCATGTCTAATCAGTTTGCTTCCAGTTTTTTTGGTGATGAGTTGTTTTAGGGTGTGTCTGGCCCACTCTTTCCTTCTTCTTTATTTTATGCGTGGGTAGGGATATGTGATGGCCAGGCTTTTTATGGTTTTATTTTTGTGTTTTCTTGTATGCCTTCTATTAGGAAGAATTGTAAGTGTCACCATTGACTGTAATTTATTAGTCTTTTGTCAAGAGAAGGGCGGTTCCATGTCTTCACTAGGTATCCAACTGCAAGTGTAATTAACCCCTGAATGCAATTGCATGCCCACACAACCAACTGCAACTAACATTTATTTTGTAAGTGTGCGGTAGGAGAGGAAGGGGGAGTTGCATGTGCGATACTAGGCTTGCAACTACAAGCGTCGCCCTCGACTTAAATTGCATGTCCCCCTCCCGACTACGACTGGCCTTGTGTTTTTGTCCGGGAGGGGGCAATTGCATGTCCGACAACAGTCCTGCAATTGCATGTGTCGCCCTCGGCTGGAACTGCATGCCTACACACCAGACTGCAATTGCATCCCCACACACCCAACCGCAACCGACATTTTTGATTTGTGAGTGGGCGGCAGGAGAGGGGGTGGGTTGCTTGTCTTGCTCGCAACTGGGAGGACCTTTGTTTTGTCGGAGGGGCGGCATCGAGAGAGATGGGCCCCAGTTGCATGCCCCACACTAGGCATGCAACTGCATGTCTTCAGCCATGGTCGCAACTTCATGTCTTATAACTTAGTTGCAACTCGACTTCCATTTTTGTCGTGCGGGGAGAGGCGCCAGTTGCATGTCACACAATGGGAATGCAACTCCATGTTTTCTAACTTGGTCACAACTGGAATGACCTTTGTTTTGTCGGAGGGGAGCGGGGGCGTCGAGAGAGATGGGGCCCAGTTGCATGCCCCACACTAGGCACGCAGCTGCATGTCTTCTAACTTGATCGCAACTGCATGTCTTATAACTTGGTTGCAACTCAAACATTTTTGTTGTATGGGGAGGGGCGCTAGTTGCATGTCCCACAACGGGCACACAACTGTATGTCTTTGAGCATGGTCGCAACTGCATGTATTATAACTTGGTTGCACCTCAACTTCCATTTTTTGTTGTACGGGGAGAGGCACCAGTCGCATGTCCCACAGTAGGCACGCAACGGCATGTCTTCGACCATGGTCGCAACTGCATGTCTTATAACTTGGTTGCAACTCGACTTCCATTTTTATTGTGCGGAGAGAGGCACCAGTTGGCATGTCCCATAATGGGCAAACAACTCCATGTCTTCCAACTTGGTCGCAATTGGGAGGACCTTTGTTTTGATGGAGGGGGCGGCGTCGAGAGAGATGGGGCCCAGTTGCATGCCCCACACTAGGCATGCAACTGCTTGTCTTCTAACTTGGTCGCAACTGCATGTCTTATAACTTGGTTGCAACTCGACTTTCATTTTTGTTGTACGGGGAGGGACGCTAGTTGCATGTCCCACAACGGGCATGCAACTATATGTCTTTGAGCATGGTCGCAACTGCATGTCTTATAACTTGGTTGCAACTCAACTTCCATTTTTTGTTGTATGGGGAGAGGCACCAGTCGCATGTCCGACACTAGGCACGCAACAGCATGTCTTCGACCATGGTCGCAACTGCATGTCTTATAACTTGGTTGCAACTCGACTTCCATTTTTATTGTGCGGGGAGAGGCGCCAGTTGGTATGTCCCACAATGGGCAAACAACTCCATGTCTTCTAACTTGGTCGTAACTGGGAGGACCTTTGTTTTGATGGAGGGGGCGGAGTCGTGAGAGATGGGCCTAGTTGCATGCCCCACACTAGGTACGCAACCGCATGTCTTTCTAACTTGGTGGCAACTGCATGTCTTATAACTTAGTTGCAAGCCGACTTCCATTTTTGTTGTACGGGGAGGGGCACCAGTTGCATGTCCCACAACGGGCACGCAACTGCATTCTTCTAACTTGGTCGCAACTGCATGTCTTATAACTTGGTTGCAACTTAACTTCCATTTTTTGTTGTACGGGGAGAGGCACCAGTTGCATGTCCCACACTAGACACACAACTGCATGTCTGTAACCATGGTCGCAACTGGGGCGGACCCTTGTTTTGTCGGAGGAGACGCCGTCATGAGAGATGGGGGCAGTTGCATGTCCCACAACGGGCAAGCAACTGCATGTCTTCTAACTTGGTCGCAACTAGGGGACCCCTTGTTTTGTCGGAGAGGGTGGCAGCGAGAGAGAGGTGTCCAGCTGCATGTCCAACTATACTCATGCAACCGCATGTCTTGTAGCATGGTCGTAACTTAGTGTCTTCTAACTTAGTTGCAACTAGGCGCATTGGTTTTATCAGAGGGGTGGCAAAAAGAGAGAAGGGGGCA